GTAAGTTAACTCTTCATAGACAAGATGATTTTACCTAGCCGGGCAATGAAACATTTGCAAGAAAGCAACCAAGCTTAGAGAATCCCAAGGACTCCACAGATCATGCCTGATCAGGGGAAGCTACTTCTGTGGTCATCCAAAGCAACATTTCCACCAACTTGTTTGTGTAGTAGAAGGGGAGGCTGGGGCAATAACTGAACCTGGAGTCCCTCTCAAACCTCTTCTGTGCTGATGATTTAAAGAAAAAAGCCTGAACTGGGAGTAGGAAAGGATATATCACCAGCTTCAGTGTAAACCAGCTGCCATCTTTCCAGTGCAATTAGTGAATGTAATAGGAATAGGAAACACAATGTGTCATTAAGGAGTCATCAAATAAATGTATTAAACTATGCCTAGAAAAATACATGTGTGGAGGGAGGGTTTGGCTGCTGTCTTTGTATAGGATACTAGCCTGCAGACTTTCCGCATTATCGTAAATTTCAGAACAAAAAAAGCCTATTGTTGCTGATAAATACCGATCTATAGAGCTGTGTTTCAGATCTCCAATGGATCTGAATAGCTATAGAGATCACACTGAGTCTCTACCTTGGCTATCTGCCCTTAGGCGATTCTCATCTGAGCCCATTTTTGGCCTGGAATCTCTACTGCTCTAGGCATATTTCTGTAGGTGCCAAAATAAGTAATGCTTTATGCAGTAACTTAAATCCAAAACAGTGTAAGTCACAGCACACTGGCTAGTTTTGAACAGCCTTCCTCAGCCCCCCTCCCCCAGACTACCATCCCTATCATTCCCAGACATGCTGGGTAAAGATGATGAAGGTGGTTGTTTAAGGCACCTGGAGGAGGCCTGTTGGAGGAAACCTAATCTTTCAAATGCCACAGGGCACTGTGATTTTTGCTAGAACCAAAGCACCCTGCTCCCTTTCTGGGTTGGGCTTGGATTGGAAAGCAAGCCAGTAGTGCTGCCTTTAGAGGGTGGCCTCCTGGTTCAGTCTGTGCTCCTGTGAAATCCTTGAGGGCATAGGAAGGGGGTGGTGGTTAGAGATTGCTTTTATGAAGCCCGATCATAGGCAGGTGATTTCCTTACAACACTGGGCTGTGGCTGTAAATCTAGCCTCTGCCAGAGCAGCTGGTTTGCTTTGGGGGGAAAGAAAGAGAGGAGAGCAGGGAATTGTGTTCTTGCATTCCACAAATGCTTGCAAATGAGTTCCTGATTTGTGTCAAGTAAAAGTTTGTCTCTAAGCTGCCAGAAGATGCCTGTCAAGACACCGATGTTGTTCAGAGTGCAGTACTAGGCTCTTTTGTATTTTACTTTTGTACAGCTGAGACACTCTTTTCTGTACAGCCCCTGTTTTGTTCCACTTTGAAAATAAAGCCAGGAACTGTATCCTGTTGAGATGTAAAACCTCATTAAAAAAAAAAAAAGATGTCTGCGATCCACTCTCCCCCTTTTCTCCCCTGCTTTAAATGACTCCAATGCTTTTCTCACTCTATTCTCTCAGGTGACATTTTCTCAGTAAGGGTTTTCAAAACTCAGCTCTTTCCTCTCCTCCTCTGTTCTGCTGCCTGCTTTTCCCGTCTAAATCACATCCCGTGTTGCTGTTTCTTAGAATAAGTGAACAGAAAAGACTAAGCAATTGGTTTATTTCTGAATGCTGTTCTTGCTGTTGCCAGGTACTCATTGTTTCTCAACTGAGAAGGCCAAATAAATCTCTCCCATTGTCATCAACAGTAACACTCCTCATCCACCATCTTTTTATCCCCATGCCTCCTTGCATGGATTTGTCTTTCCAGAGGAAGGCGTAGATTCTCAAATCAAACTGTTTGCTAGACATTTATTATTAGCATTAACTTGAATATTGAAATTCATATCATGCTTGTTAGTTCAAATCATACTGGACTTGACATAGCCCAGGGTATTATTCAAATACATTCACATGCGTATGTTCCTACAGAAGTTGGACACGGGCTTTCTCAAGGGAAGGATT